GAAATAAAATAGTTCACTTCCCGCTGTCTTCTCTATGGATGTGTATAATATTGAGTGTGTGTCTGGCCCTGCTGTCTCCTAGCTGTTAGCCGAGTAAGTGACTATTAATATGAATATGGACTGTCTGACCACAGCCGTGTATCACACTAAATAAAGTTATTTCACCAACACCTTCGCTGTCGTGCTGCTGGAGAGGGGCCTTCTGCTGCCTCTCCCTATTTTACTCGTAGGTTGAACGGGTCTGTCCCGCATAGGGTGCGGTGGAAGAAGGGCGAGCTTACCGGGTGTGAGCGTGGCTTTGGGAGTGGAACGAGAAAAGGGCTTTAAAGCAGACCAGGGGCCACAGGTGACAACCATGGCCTTGCTGTCAGCCTCAAGGTAGGAGGCAGCACCGGAGGGTCCCTGGGGTGGTGGGGGGCTGGGTCGCCTCCCCTCAGTGCCTGCCTGCCTTCCTCGCCCTGCTCCTGCCTGGCCGAGGGGCTGTCACTGATGTGGGGGCACCGCGGGAGCGCTGGTGACTGCTCCCTTGCTCGAGGGGGTGTAGGGGGTCCCCCTTCCCCATGCCCTCACCAGCCCCTTCCTCCCCTCGGGCGCGAGGCATTTGGGGAACCCGAAGGCTGTGATCGGCCTTGCTGGTCATGGGGGGCCCCCTTCCTGGGAGGGGTGCAGGGCGTGGGGTGGGAGAACGTGTCCCGAGCCGTCAGCGCACCCCGCAGTGCCGCATCGATGTGCTGGCGGAGACGGTGCACAACATCGAGCATCGCCGGGAGCAGGACACCAACGTCATCGACGTGCACGACGTCACCCAGCTGGCTGCCAACGCTGATGTGGGCTACCACGCCTGTGAGTGGGGGCCGGAGGCCTGAGGGGGACAGGGGATGAGGCTGGCTCACATCCACAGAAGTTTTGGGTTGTGTTAAACAGAGGGGCCACCCCGTCCGGGCTGCCTGGCAGGAGAGAGGTGTTCGGGTACAGGACAGCGCTTGGGACCTCTGCTACAAGAGGTAGTTAGCACCAGCTGGGCTGGTGAGGGGTCGGTGCTGCTTGGAGGAGCTGCTGAGATCACCGTGAACTAGAGGGGGACGCTTGGGCCAAGCAGAAACCTCTGGAGTGGCTGCGCGTCCCCATGGGCCCCACATGCTGTTCAGGCAGGTGGAACAACTCTTTCCTCCTTGTTTAGGGCAGTGTCCGAAGCCCTTGAAGAGCAGGGATGTGGTGACACTGCGGTGCTGGCACATTGAGGATGGGCATCGCACCGTTACCAACTTCTCCATCAAACTTCGGGTGAGTGAAGAGCAGGCAGGGCTAGAAGGCCCTCCCATTACAGCGATCCGTGGAACTGGAGGGTCCCGTTAAGGGCAAAACGCTGTCCTAGGGTTGGTCGCGGGCTGTAGGAGTCCGGGATGGTGTCTTGAACAGGACATGGCGCTGCGCTGGGGTGGGCACCTTGGCTCATCTCTGTGGCGTCACATTCTGCCAGCCTTAGCAGTCTTGACAGCTGACTGATTTGTTTCCAAAGCTAGAGGGCTATGAAGAACACGATGACTCTGGTCTCTGCTTGTGCGAGAACCTGCCTGACCCCCACTGTCCATACCCTGTCTGAGCAGGATCTTGAAGCTCAGTAGCTTTCGGAGATCCTGAACTGAGTGGCAGAGCAGTGCTGGAGGGCTCTCTGCTGCCGGAGCGGGAGAGGGATGAAGGATTTCTGTACAGGAACTTCAGTTTCACTCTTCTAAAGCAGCTGGCATCGTCAGGGGATCTGGGCAAGCAGAAGATGGTCACAAGGAGTTAAATTGGCCTCCTACCTTTCTCAGTAGTGGGCCCTGAGCCCCTCCTACGCAGCCAGAAAAGAAACAGAGTAGGTTAACACCTAGATGAGCGTTAGATGAGACATGTGCCAAGACCTTTCCTAAGCTTCCATGGTTGTTTCCCCGCTGTGCTTCCCTGCTCCCGATCAGATGGTAAAGAAACCGCACAAGGCCTGTGTGAAATACCCTGCCCAGAAGCAGCAGCACGAAGCAAACATGAACCCCTGGCCGGACCCCGAGCAGAACGCGCTTCCTCCCTCGCCGCCATCCGAAGTGAAGGCGGAGAGGGGCGAGCACGGCGGTTCGGAGAAGGGATGCCGCTAGCCTCGCCGCAGGGAGGAACGTTACGTGGTGCTGCGCAGGCTCATCCAGTGGTTTACAACAAGGGGTGGGGGGAGCTTTTAAAGAAAATCTCTGGGTTTGTAGCCTTTTCTCTCATCAAGCGACCGTGTGGATCCAAGCACGCCGGCCCCGCTCAGCGCCAGGACTGAATGGGGCCAGGAGCACACGGCTGCCTGTACCGAGCTGGCTGAGTTAGGCTCGGGGAGAGGAGCTGTACAGTACATTTCTCAACATTTCCCAGGTGTAACCTGCCGTGCCTTAACACAACACAGCGCGTTCTGGGGCTGTACCGTCGCTCCAAAAGGTCAAGCAGTACCTCTGCCAGTCTGCTTCCCTGGCCAGGGAGTTATTCATTGACAAACTAAAGCTGCTCCGATGCTCGTGACTCTTGGTCTCTATTCTGCAAGTTGCTTAAAAAAAAAAAAAAGAAAAAAAATGGATGTTGCTGGACCTGTTTTCCCAGCGGGAATCAGTAACTACCCATCTGTCCCTCCAGTTCTGGAGGATGAAATGGACTGTGGTGGCCAGTACAAGCCCCATTACTGCGTTGTCAATTAAGCTACCTAAGGTTTGAACGTGTCTTGGGAAAGAATCCGCTCTTTCCTGTTAGCCCACAGCCAGTCACGAGCTCAGCGCGAGGGGCTGCGCAAGCACCCCGGTAATTACCTCCGAGTAATGGCAGGGAGGGAGCTGCCCTAGGCAGGGGAGAGCTTCCCGGAGCTCCTGCTCTGAAGCAGGATTAAGATTGAACGCTGAGGTTGCATTTGCAGTCCCCTGTGGAGAGTTCAAGGTGCCTCTCGGCTCCTCGGCAGTCGGGTTCCGTGCCAAAAGCCCGATGCGTGCGTTCAGTCGCCAGTTTTCACCAGGCAGAGCGCAGGGTTGGCTCTGGGGCTGCCCACTGGAACCTTCACCCTGGCGCGTCTGAGCACAACGGGGGGGGGTCGGACCACGGGGGGGGGGGGAGAACGGAAGACGGAGCGGCATGAAACGTTGCCTCGCTGCAACCCGAGCATCCTCCTTCCGCAAGGAACGTGTAAATGTTGGGAAACCCGTGTGAGACTGAAGAGGCGAGCGTCCCAGGGGACACGGAGGCCTGTCTCCGCAGCAGAGCTCTTGGCTTACCTTCTCAGGGTGTTACAGTGAGGCTTCCAGCATGCTTATTTCCCTGGTAGAAAAGCTGTTTCTTTTTTTTTTTTTATTCTGAGAGAAAGTCTTTTTTCTAGTGCATTTTATTCTGCTTCAGCCTGGCTCAGCTTTCCGCCCAGTGGCTGAGCTCCATGGCTGGCAGTGCTGAAGCTGTGTCGGGGCTGCTGCTCTTGGCTGTGCCACCACTGAAAAATCCTCCATTGCAGCAGTGCTGAAACACCGCTGCAGGCTAACCAAGGGCCTATTTCCATCACAAACGGTGGAAAACCACCCTTAAAACAGAGCTGCTCCTCACGTGGGTCCCACCCTTTCCTCCTGCAGCCTTCAAGGGCAACTGGAGCCAACCCTCGTCCCAGCTGTCCGCCCGGCCTTTCCTTGGGGTAGGGCCAAGCGTGGTGACAAACAACCCTTCACGGAGACTTCCGGAATGGGAATAAGGTGAAGTCTGGTTGCTGTACTCGTTTTATTATTTCAGTTACTACAGATAAGCAGAAAACGCCAGACGGAAGGCCAGAGTGAGGGCTGTCCTGATGCCATTTACAATGTGACACTACCACGTGCTTGCACCCACGTTTCCTGATAACTAGCACGTTTTCATCTGTGCTCTCGCAGCGCAGGGCACAGCGGGCTTCCCTACCTGTCTTTTGAGAAGAGGGAAGGGGAGAAGTTTACCTCAAAGTGGTGGGGGGGTTCTGATGGCAGCACGGGGCAGGGCCGTGCAAGTTCAGCGAGTGAAACCCTTAACCATGCAAGCACCACAGCTGAGGGAACCCGGCCAAGTGCCCGCAGCAGTTCGGAAACGCGCTCCAAGCACCTCAGTCCTGGATCGTGGGGGGCAGAGGGGTACAGACATGCCTTGGCAAGCTAGTGCAGCTAGAGACGCGCACTGAGGCTGAGTGGATTTTACTCCTGTCCCTTGAGTCCCAAGCAAACCCAGTAGTGTAGAGCAGAGGTAGGACAGTGGAGAAGGAAAGAATTTCATTTCACCAGAGAAGTGATCAGGTTGATCTCTTGGAGGACAAAGGCCATGCTCTGCTCAAGCACACTCAGACCCTCTTGGCCTCACATCTAGCAACACTGGATCCAGAACCAGCAGACCACTCCTTTAAATTAAGTCCTACTAGAAGAGAAGCACAGATCTTGCCGGAGAAGCTGCCCTCCGGGTACCCACTTCCCCATCAACACCATCAGCTTGTTTCAACACCCAGTTCAAGGAGTACAGACTAAAGCCCCATCCATCTTCCAGCTAAATAAGACTTTGTCGGCATCCCTCCATGCAGGAAGCAGAGCTGATGCTTGTGCAGCCCACAGGACCGTTGTACCCCCAGTGACAGCTGAAACTTTGATGCGTCATCTCGGATGTCGAGGAAAAGTAGTGGAGAGGTTTTTTTGCAGGATGGCCGCTCTGGAGAGCCAGCAGACAGCTGCCCACTAGTGAACGGTTCTTTCCTT